GACTAAGCACATTACCTTTTGTGGCTGAAACTTTTAAAAGCCTAAGAGGGAGTGCAAACTTTTGCTCGGTGCTGTAAAGGAAGCTGATGTGTGACCTGTGTGCTGTTGTCCAGCTTTCTCCTGCCCTGAGGAACCGCTTCACTGAGATCTGGTGTCCTCAGAGCAACAGCCGCAGCGACCTGGTCCAGATCATCCGACACAACCTGCAGGCCGGACTCTCCCTCCATGGTAAAGCTAGCTACGCCGATAAATTTACTGATTCTAACGTACCAGACTCTAACTTCTGTTACCAGTGGATGTTTCAGGACTGGTGTTTCGCTGATAGTTCTCCCTCTGTTCAAATGAAACCCAGGCTTGGACGTTGCAGAACTGATGCTGGACTTCATCGAATGGCTGACCCAGCAGGACTTCGGCCGGCGCTGCATCCTGAGCGTCAGAGACATCCTGTCCTGGGTCAACTTCCTGAACGCTGTGTGTGAGCGGGACGAGGACAGCCTCATGACCACCAGAGCAGCTGAAGATGAGGAGGAGGCAGAGTGGGACCTCAGACTGGACGCTGTCACGGCTTGTGTCCATGCTGCATGTTTGGTGTACATCGATGGCATTGGCTCAGGTGAGATGAAGCCTGATCTTTCTATCACTGTTCTCCCCTTACTGGAAGACTTGATTTCATCCAGTGTTTCTCTACAGGAACCACAGTGTCCAGTGCAGACAGCGCCCTATTTGCCCGTCAAATGTGCCTCGGTTTCCTGCAGCAGCGGCTCAGTAAGATGACCAAGCTTGACCAGGAGATGCTGGATGCCCTGAGAGTCTATGACAGCCGTTTACCACGCGAACCTCAGTGGGGAGACGACTTCTTTGGTATCAGCCCCTTCTACATCCCCATAGGTACGCACTGCCCGCCCAACGCTATGATCCTCTCTTCACATTTGGTTTCTACTCCTGCTCAACATTTATGTTTCTACAAAGCACTGGAAATCCGACAGGAAACTATAATCTTTCAACTTTTTGATCTGAATTGATCATTTGATTCGAGCATTGTAAAGGTCTGAAACCCAAATGGTTTCATTATTCTATCAACACTAAAAACTCAGGCAGACTAGCTGTTAATGCAATTNGAAAGGCCAGAACCGAAGATGAATGTTTTAAAGTTCAGCCAGGGAGATCAAAGCGTATCATCCAGACGCTTAGCAAACAGGCGTCAGCCTGAGGCTGTGAGCTCGTATCAATGTTCCTGGTTAATCTGTTGTTTCAGTTTCCGTGATGGGCAGTGTTAATGTAGAACATGCTGTCTGTGATCTATCAGGGACATCCAGCGGATCAGACTGACATCGAAATTCAATCGCACCCGATTTTAGCTCCTGTCCCGAGAGGACTTCTCTTTGTAGTTAGTGCTATGAAATAACTGGGTTAAATATTTTCCCATATCACAAAAACTGCAGCAAAGATTCTGCAGAGGTCCAAAGGTGTTTTCATTACGCAGGGTTTTAAAGGTTTATTTTCTTAAACCAGGTTTCTGCAGAGATGCTGCAAAGCTTTAAGTTTACACAGTTGGAAGGAGCTGTTCTGTTTTAAAGAATTTAGTTTCAGTAGAAGAGAAATGATGGGCTTTCCTTGGATGTAAAGACCTTTATTATTCTTCCATTTTCTTTCAGGTTTTGTTTTTAACTTTTTTTGTAACAAGGGAACTTTTTTGCTTCCTTTTTTGTGTTTTTTCCAACGGTAAAACTGTTGGACAATAAAGGTTCTATTCTATTCTATTCTATTCTATTCTATTCTATTCTATTCTATTCTATTCTATTCTGTTCTATTCAGGGTTATAGTCGCCGTTTCTCAATCTGTGTACTTGTGCATTCTTGTGTATTCGTGAAACATCACCAATCTTAGCCCTAT